AATGGGCCTTTCTCCATACAGAATAATTTTGTAAATTTTGTGTATTCTCTCTTTCTCTCTCACAGGTAGCTGATGGATATGGTCTCAATTGTTGTAATGAAATGTAACTACAAAATTAATGTAATGATTTTTGCAAATATTGAACCCTGAAGTTAGGCAACATTTATCATTGTGAACAATTTAACTGAGAAGAACAGGTTAAAGTAGGAAATCTTTATATTTTTGTGTTATTTTTATTTTTATATTATTTTTTCATTTTGCACTATCATTTCTTTTTTATATTTTATTGATTTTATTTTTCAAATACACAAAAGCAGTGGCATGCATTACAATTCTTATACATATAGAGCACAATTTTTCATATCTCTGTATATAAAGTATGTTTATGACAATTCATGCCTTTATAATGTACTTTTTTGCATTACAATTGTTAATACACATATATACCACAATTTTTCATATCTCTGTATATAAAGTATATTGACACCCAATTCATGTTTTCATATATGTACTTTGTTTAATGATGTCCATCACATTCCACCATCCTTGCTAACCCCTGCTCCCTTGCCTTTCCCTCCCACCCCTCTGCCCTATCTAGAATTCATCTAATCTTCCCATGCTCTTCCTCCCTACCCTACTATGAGTCAGCCTCCTTATATCAGGGAAAACATTCAGCATTTGTGTTTTGGGGATTGGCTAACTTCACTTAGCATTATCTTCTCTAATGCCATCCATTTACCTGCAAATGCCATGATTTTGTTCTTTTTCATTGCTGAGTAAAATTCCATTGTGTATATATGCCACACTTTTTTTCCATTCATCCACTGAAGGGCATCTATGTTGGCTCCACAGTTTAGCTGTTGTGAATTGTGCTGCTATAAACATTGATGTGGCTGTGTCCTTGTAGTATGCTGTTTTTAATTCCTTTGGGTATAGACCAAGGAGAGGGATACCTGGGTCAAATGGTGGTTTCATCCCAAGATTTCCAAGTAATCTCCATACTGCTTTCCATATTGGCTGCACCAATTTGCAGTCCCACCAGCAATGCATGAATGTGCCTTTTCCCCACATCCTTGCCAAAACTTATTGTTGTTTGTCTTCATAATAGCTGTCATTCTGACTGGAATGAGATAAAATCTTAGAATAGCTTTGATTTGCATTTCTCTAATTGCTAGAGCTAATGAGCATTTTTCCATATATTTGTTGATTGATTGTGTATCCTCTTCTGTTCAGGTCCTTGGCCCACTTGTTGATTTGATTATTTGGGTTTTTTGGGCTTTGCTTTTTGAGTTCTTTATATACCCTAGAGATTAATGCTCCATCTAATCTGTGAGGGATAATAATTTGCTCCCTGGATGTAGGCTCCCTGTTCACCTCACAGATTGTTTCTTTTGCTAAGAAACTTTTTAGTTTGATTCCATCCCATTTATTTATTTTTGGATTTTATTCTTGTACTATAGGAGTCTTATTAAGGAAGTTGGGGCCTAATTCGACATGATGAAGATTAGGGCCTATTTTTTTTTATTGGATGCAGAGTCTCTAGTTTAATTCCTGGGTCCTTGATCTACTTAGAGTTGAGTTTTGTGCATGGTAAGAGAGAGGGTTTCATTTCATTTTGTTGCATATGGATTTCCAGTTTTCCCAACACCATTTGTTGAAGAGGCTATCTTTTCTCCAATGCATCTTCTTGGCACCTTGTCTAATATAAGATAATTTTAGTCTTGTGGATTAGTCTCTGTGTCCTCTAATCTGTACCATTGGTCTACCAGTCTGTTTTGGTGCCAAAACCATGCTGTTTTTGTTACTATTGCTCTGTAGTATAGTTTAAGGTCTGGTATAGTGATGCCTCATGCTTCACTCTTCCTACTAAGGATTGCTTTAGCTATTCTGGCTCTCTTATTTTTCCTGATGAATTTCATGATTGTTTTTTCTATTTTTATGAGGAATGCCATTGGGATTTTGGCTGGAATTGTATTAAATCTGTATAGTGCTTTTGGTAATATGGTCATTTTGATAATGTTAATTCTGCCTATCCAAGAGCAAGGTAGATCTTTCCATCTTCTAAGAATGTCTTTGATTTATCTCTTTAGGTTTCTGTAGTTTTCACTGTGTAGATCTTTCACCTCTTTCATTAAGTTGATTCCCAAGTATCATATTTTTTTGAGGATATTGTGAATGGGGTAGTTTTCCTCTTTTTCCCTCTCAGAGGGTTTGTCCAAATGCCTGTGACTTATGGGTGTTGATTTTATATCCTGCTACTTTGCTGAGTCATTTACTAGTTCTAGAAGTTTTCTAGTGGAGTTTTTTGGGTCTTCAAGGCATTGAATCATATTATCAGCAAATAGAGCTAATTTAAGTTATTAAATTATACATATACATATCACTTAATTTCTTTTGTCTGTCTAATTGCTCTGGCCAGTGTTTCAAGAACTGCCTTGAATAGATGTGGTGGAAGAGGGCATTCCTGTATTGTTTCAGTTTTCAGAGTGAATGTCTTCAATTTTTCTCTGTTTAGAATGATTTTGGCCTGAGGCTTAGCATAGATAACCTTTATTATGTGGAGATATGTCCTTGTTTTCCCTAATTTTTCTAATGTTTAGAAAAACATTAAAAAACATTAAAAACATTTTTTAAAGTTGTGCTGTATTTTTTCAAGTGCTTTTTTTTACATCTATTGAGATGATCAAATGATTATTATCTTTAAGTCTATTGGTCTGGTGATTTACATTTATTGATTTCTGTAAGTTGAACCAAACTTGCATCCCTAGGATGAATCCCACTTGATCATGGTGCACAATCTTTTTGATATGTTTTTTTATTTGATTTGCCAGAATTTTATTGAGAATTTTTGCATCTATGTTCATTAGAAATATTGATCTGAGGTTTTCTGTCTTTGTTGTGTCTTTGCCTGGTTTGGAATCAGGGTGATATTGGCCTCATAGAATGAATTTGAAAGTACTCACTCTTTTTCTATTTCCTGAAATAAATTGAAGAGTGTTGGTATGAGTTCTTCTTTAAAGGTCTTGTAGAACTTGGCTGTGTATCCATCTGGTCCTGGGATTTTCTTGGTTGGTAATCTATTGATGACTTCTTGTATTTTCTCATTTCATATTGGTCTGTTTATGTTGTGTATATCTTCCTGATGCAATCTAGGCAGATCATATGACTTAAGAAATAAAGGATTTACTTGGTTCATGATCAATGAAGTTTTCTGGGGCCAAAATCTCTAGTATAAAATATATTGTCAATTAGATTTTATTGATGACTATTATGTTCCATAATATTCTGGTTGCTTTCAAGATGTTTCTTTGTTTTAGTTACTAACAACTACAGGTCTGTGTGTAATCACTTCTGTGTCAATTCCATAAAATAAGGTCTTTTGGGTTACTATATGTAAAGATTTGTCTCACAAAATTAGGGGAATTCAATCATCACCAATATAAACAATATATAAGCTTTGTAAGACACAACTGATGAAGATTTCATCTCAATGTTTATATTGTACTACTTTAAAACCTACAGATATTTGAGAAATGAAGGAACTTCATGTGTAACCAGAGCAGAGTGTTCTATTGACTAGTGTTTCTCATTTCTCTCTCTTATCTGTCACTCCACATGTGTGTTGCAATTTTAATAATGTGCCTTATTGTTTTCAAATTATAATTTTAAGTGTACTTTTATTTGCTTAATTCAATTCCCATATTTTAGGGTGAAGAAATCATACTTATTTAGGGAAAATAAAATCCAGGAAAACCCTGACAAATTGTTTCCAGTAGCCATATTCACCTAGATATCTGTTTGTTGTTAATCCTCATGGTCCCACTTTGACATGTCATTCATTCCTAACTGCACTTTCGGGATTTGCACCTGTTGCCCTTGAGTCCATAAGTGCTGGCCTATTTGGGGAGGGCTCATTTTTCTTGTTCTCTATGCTAGATTTTAGGAGCCAGCTGTCACAGCTGTGGAATGAAGACAGAAGTACACCCTTTACCTTCGAGATGCCACCATTATATCAAACAGATAAACTCTTAATTTTGGAGTACGATATAATAACATTAATAGATCACTTTAAATCTATGATACCACGGTACAAACAAACCACAGGAAAAGGCCTTCACCATTTTTTCCTACAGACATAAAACATCCAAAAATAAACAGGGTCTTAAGAAAGATATAGAGGACAACTTGGCTATGCAGGGAAGGGCCTCTCTGTGAACTCAGCTGTCTTGAGGGAACATGATCAGTGCATCAACAGATCAGTAACATTTCAAAATGGTTTAATCAGATAATTTATGGCCAGATATGTGCATTCTACATGAATATACATTTTGGTTCCTTCTCAGAAATAGAAAGTTACAAATTAGAATATATTGTGAATTTCTGAAGACAGGGGTACAATACCAAGGAGCATGAATACTCTAACTAGTACTGTCTTAAACAAGCCATGATTTATGATCAACACCAATTTTTCATTTTTTGGAGAAAAATGCAATTGAATTGTAAGTCAGAAATCAGAACACACAGAAAAAAAATCTAAAGTTCTTGCATTATGTCTCCATTTGCTTTTTTATCAAATGAGACAATTACACTTTAAGTTTCTTTATTCTTGCAGATTTCATAATGTAGATAATACCCAGTAAGTATATTTTTTCTGTTCTATTTTTTAATGCTATGAATCAAAAATGGTCTCTATTCATCATAAATAAATATACTTTAGATTTCCATACATATCAACTGTGTTCAAGGTTTATAAGGACAGTGAAACCTGCAAATATACACAGGCCATTAGAGACATATAGAGAAAGCATCCTTAACCAGCTTCCTAGAACATCTGTGCAAAACCTGTCACCAGCTTTGTGGTGTGAAATTGTGCCTGTATGTGATTGAGCTATCCTAACTTGATTTTTCCATCACATACAGCAAGAAAAAGCTAAGAATATTTTCAAACTTACTTACTGAACAGTTCAATGACATAGAAGTTTTCTCACTGTCTTTCTCTCTCAGTGACCACACCAACATCCAGCCAGGTGTCCCTCTCTGTGAATGAGCACTACTGGACTCAGGATTGCATATCCAAGCTCCACAAGTTGTAGAACAATTACTTCTATGAAATACTTTTCAAAAAAAAAAGTTACATATAAAGCCATAAAACAGTCTGCCCAATAAAACAAGAGAAAACAAAGCATCAGAAGGAGAACACTCTTTGCAGCCTTCACCTCAGGGGGGGTTCTGTAGAGCAGCTTGGAGGTCTGAAGGTGGAGAACGTGCTGGTGGTGCTTGTGGAGGAGGAAGACCATGTAGCCACTGGCCCAGCCCATGACACCCTGGAACACAGCGTCCCTTGAGACCAGGAAAACAATAAAAATCCATCTAATTATCCAATGCTGTGATTGCAAATAGCAATAGTTGTCACTGGAATTAATTTGTGATGTGTTCATGCTGCTGATATTTTTGATGTAAAATGGTAAGTTCATACTTATCAAGGAATTCAGTAACCAAAAGAAGATCAACAAGGGAAGCAGGTCACATGATGACCTGGGCTGCAGCCTCCTCCACCTGGAGGCTCTGGGACTGATGGTGATGGCTTGGACCACTGTGAGGAGACTGGTGGTGCAGATGGACAGGCCCCGGGCCACCCTCTGCAAGTAAACCACAGTCTTACAGGTTATATCATCTATAAAGTTTCTCAACCCCAAACTGGATATTGTCCTGGGCATTACTCCTGTTAGAAGTGTTATGATATTTGCAAAAGACAGATTAATGAGAATGAGGTGGATAGATTTCATAGTGCCTCTAAACAAGCTCATATTGTTCACAAGAACAAAGGTGTTCCCCACAACTCCAAGTCCTGTTAGAAACATGAACATTATTCCCTTGACAAGAGGCAAAACCATTTCTTACTTCATAGGCAGAAAAACTTAGATATAGTACACAACTTTTTGAAGAAAGCAGCAGTAATAATGATATTTAGCAGCAAAGAAATATATCACCACAGCAATTTCTACAGTTTCAGAACAATCAGGATCTATGTAATGGTGCAGATTGTGCACAGAGGATTACTTCTTTTTATGTAACGATCTAAGGGAGATTCTATGTACTTTCAATACTATCATGGGCACTATTATTTAAATAGGACCTTGGTGGACTGATGACTTCAGTCAACACTGCAGCCTGCACTGCTCCCTTTTCTCCCACCTAGTCAACAACGGGGCTGCTGTGATGCTTGAATTTTCCACCTTATTTCCATTCAATCCTGGACAGGATGTTACCTTTTTCTGTTAAATTTCCAACCTTAATTCTCACCTAAAAACTTATTTCAAATGTGGCCAATTTCTCCAGAATGAAAGAACCCAGGATGTTGAAACAATCTTAGGACTTGCCTGTATTAATACACTTGGATACAGTTCTACAATCCTTTCCCCCAGCTCCTGCTATTCATTAAAGGATTGCTTTAGAATGCTCCGCTGAAGGTCCCTGCAGCGTGAAGTGCAGGAACACAGGCTGTGCCCAGCTCTGGCACTATGTAGCCCTTGAATTCAGGAAGATCAAGGATTGCATTTCCAACTCTGTTTCCGCTTCTGACAAGTGGGGAGAATAAAGACCGCCAATTCCTTAAGGGTAGATATCTACTGTGCAACGCCTTATGATACCAGCTAGAGTGATCCAGGCACAGCAGCTTCAACTAGTAACTCAAGGATGAAAAAGATTGTAGACAAGATACATTGTGGCCCTGACGACTTATCAAACATTCTCATATTTCTTGTGTTTTCTCATATTTTTAGCCAAATCTTATCTTTCAACACTACACAGCTCTGAGTCAAATTTTGGAGGCACTTCTGACAACCACAACTATTTCTATTTTGCTGGGACAGAATAAAATGAAGAATGTCAGAGGAGAGGGTGCCATTATTCCAGATTGACTTTACAGTTATAGAGTAGACAGTTCTAAAAATAAGCACTTGCATTCAGAGAGATGTTGATCCTATACCTGGAAATCACAGCAAACACCTGGGCAGGTTCACACATCGATCTTGAGATAAACTTCCCAAGATAAATATTAGATTGCTGGTCCTTGTTACATGATACTAAACTAAAAATCAAAGAAATTGTTCTGAAATTTTTATATCAAGCAAACCAATAAAAACACACTGGAATTCACAAAGAAAAACTATTATTTTAAATACAGATTGTTTTTAGCCGACAGTCCAACAAGCAAACGTATAAGAACGAATTGACTCACATGTGTGTCTAATGATATATGGGAGGGAAAGCAGCTTCAGAGTGGGTGCATAAAGAATTCCTTCTTGTTAAACACACTGCCCTTAGGGACCTAGAAACATAACGCAAGAGAAAAAGTGCATCTTGGAAATTTAATAGTACAACAAAAACTAGGTTCAGAAAACTTATGTGGGCTAAGAGTGGCTGTCACAGTCGTCACAGAACAAATGGAGGCTGAAGAAGCTGAACTTTTCTAAAAGTAGACAAAAGTTCCAGGTTTCTGTCTTCAGTACTCAACACAGAGCACTCGAATGGACCCCAAACCTGAGCACAGGATCAAAGATGCCCCAGCATAACTGAGGTACCTCTGCTATAAGTGGCCCCTTCATCCTCCTGGCCCAGCTGCATCCTTTTAGACACCAGAGGAAGAGTGAAGGTCCCAAGGCTCAGACCCTGTGGGGGGAAAAAACCTTGCTCAGTCACAGAAATTAAGATCTTTCTACTGAGGGAATGTCACGTGTGCCTGTGAGCAAAGAGATCCTGGGTTCCACTCACCTGGTGGCTCTGTTGCAGACAAGCTCCGTGTTGGTCCTTGGAACAAGATGCGTCTTTCAAGGTTGTATTTGTACCTTCTGGGTTCGAGGGGCTCTTTCTTGCCATTAACTACCACTGGGCTCCAGTTGTCACCGTTTGTACCTTTCAGGGAGAAGAAAAACCTCTGCAGAACCTCAGTCCCTCAAGAATGACTTTCCATCTCCCTCCGCAATTATGAGTTCATTTGGCTCAGAAGTTTGTTCAGTCTTAATTGGGGCTTAATTATTTTGATAGAAGTTTGTGCAGTGAGAAAATGAACCAACGGCCAGGTTTCTCTATCTGAGTTTTACATTCCTTGACCTTCCCTTCACTCACCCAAAGGTCCACGGGTCAGTTAAGTGGGGCCAGCTTCTGAGACACAGCGTGTACTTCCCCTCATACTCAAGGCTTTCTCCATGACACGGACGTGGTTCCCAAGAACCAGCACAGGGGCCTCTGCTTTCAGAGTGAACCCCAGCCAGGCGCCTGGCAGGACAGGAGTCGCTTTTCTCCACTTGTGCACTGTGGCATTTTGAGGACATTGCTATCAGTGGTCTCTTTATTGTTTGAATATTAAACAACAAGTTGCAGACGAGGGCCAGGTGTCCCCACATTCTCCCTCCAAAACACCAAACCTGCAAGAAGGGAAATGCAAATGAAAATTACAGGGAGATTTCACCTCTCTCCTGCTAGAATGCCTTTTATCAAGAATGCAAATAATAGCAGATTCTCTCAAAGATGTGACAAAAAATGAAAATTCATACATTTTGGGTGGGACTAGAAATTAGTCCAACCAGGTTGATAAGCAATATGGACATTTCTTAAACATTGAAAATTGAGACCATTATTAAAATACACCGAACCCACTGCACAGTATGTATTCAAAAACCTAAAATTAGCATAATATAGTGATACAAGTGCATCAACATTTATAGCACCATAATTCTCAATGGTCACCTTATGGAACCAGCCCAGATCATGACCAAAAGAGGAATGGATCAAGAAAATGTGGTGTATAGACACACACAGTTCCACACAGAAATGAAGAAGAGTGAAGGTAGGGCATTTTCTGGGAAATGGATGGAAATACATAATGCCAGGCTACGTGAGGTAAGCCAGACTCCGAAGATCAGGGGTTGGATTCTGCCTTGTGTATGTGAAAATTAGAGCAAAATTAGGGGAAATGGGCTCAGCAGATCCCACAAAAATAGAAACTGAGCCAGTGGATCAGGAAAAGGCAGAGCTAGTGAGACCAGAGGGGAAGGGAGGAATGTGGAGTGGACGTGCCCTAACCCTGCTGTGTGCACGTGTGAATGTCCCAGAGTGAACCACCTATAAGGCACCGATTGATACAGCAATAAATAAATATGAGGAAGATGAGTAGAGAGAGGACAGGGAACATTGGGAGGAAGAAAGGGTGGGAAGCGGAAGCAGCAGAACTGTAGTTGAGCTAATTACACCCCATGCATGTGTGGCGCGTCAGATGAGTCCCATGATAGTGGGACAAAAATGCACTAATAGAAATATTTTAAAATCCAAACCATCTGTGTGTTTCCTGAAGAGCATTTGTGTGATTCATCCACACCCCGGGATGGTCCCCATATCAATTACTCATTATGCTGCCTGGAGATATTTTTCCAGGCCCCTTTGAAAAGGGATGTAAATAAAGGTGGCCAAGGAGGGGAGATGAGAGCAGCTTCCTTTCTGCAGAGGAGAGAGCAGCCGGGGCTGGCCGGGGCAGCAGGCTCCTGGCCACTGGGCCTCCTCTGTGCCCTGAGGGACTCATGACCTGGGGATGCGCCCTGCACACATTAGGGATAGAACCCTGGGCCACACATGGAAGCCACCTGAGTTACGGTCCCTGGTGTGGAAGGGAGCCCCAGGCCTGCATGGTGGAGTGGCCACTCAGGGCACTTATGAGCTCAGACACAGAGTGAAACAGAGCCATGAGCAGTGTTCCCTGGTACAACAGCAGCACTGAACCCTGTGACATTTGATAGGGGGTTTTGTTTACAAACTTACAATTTTTGCCTGAGTTTGAGATATATATTAATCACTGTAAAAGTCATATCATGGTCTGGGTGATCAGAAAATCTACAACTATTTTCCATAACGCAGTTCTAAGAGGACCATTTATAGCACTGAGATCAACACCAAAAAGGAAAAATATCAAACAAATTAGCATTATCTCACAAGACCCTAGAAAATGGCAAAGCAACACCAAAATCAGTAGAAGACAGAAAGCAATTAAAATCAGAGCCAAAGTCAGTGAAATGGGGAATAAAAAAAAAACAACAGACTAATTAAACAAAGAGTAGGGTCTTTAAAAATTTATACATTTACTTTAAGTTGTTATATATGACAGCATAATGCCTTTTAATTCGTATTACACATACAGAGCACAATTTTCATGTCTCTGGTTGTACACAAAACCGAGTCACACCAGTCGTGTCTTCATACATGTTCTTGGGGTACTGGTGTCCATCTCTCCCCACCATCTTTCCCACCCCCTACACCCTCACTTCCCCTTCCTCTTCTTTGCCCTAGAGTTTTTAAAGGGATAAGATGATTGATTAATCCTTTACCAAACTAACCAAAGGAAAGAGGGGAAAAAATCTCAAAAACAAACAAAATTTGAGATGAAAAGAAAAACATCACCACAGATCCTATTGAAATCCAGAGGATAATTAGAAGATACTTTGAAATTTTATAGTAAAAAACTTAGAATATTTTAAAGATATTGACCAATTCCAATTTTAAAGACATATGACTGCTCCAAATTGAACCATGAGGATACAAAACACTTAAACAAATCAATACCAAGCAATAAAATTGAAGCCGCTATTAAAATCCTTCTAACAAACAGCAGTGCAAGAGCAGGTGGACTGTCCGCCAGTCTGCCTGACCTTGGTAGCACTAATGTCAATCCTCCTCGAATTATCCCTTGAAACAGAAAAGGAAGAAGCACTGCACACTCATGTGAGGAGGCCAGCATCACACACAAAACCAGACGAAGACGCATCGAGGAAGCACGGGTTTGGCGTAGTATCCCTGATGAACTTAAAAACAGGAGACGGCTTCACCTATAAGATAATAGGCTGGTTTTGAACTTGAGGTCGACCTGCTTCGGCCTCCCC